TTACCGACGATTTATCCAAGGCTTTTCTTCGATAGCTGCTCCATTAACAGCTTTGACCCATAAAGGAGCTACGTATACATGGAGTGAGAAACACGATGAGGCGTTCGAGAAGCTAAAAAAGAAGTTATGTGAAGCACCGATACTTTCTCTACCCGATGGAGTCGAAGATTTCGCAGTTTATAGTGATGCATCTGGAGTCGGGTTGGGTTGTGTTCTGACCCAAAGAGAAAAGGTGATAGCATACGCATCTCGACAATTGAAAGAGCACGAAAAGAACTACCCCACTCATGATCTGGAGTTGGCAGCGGTAGTATTTGCCTTAAAGATATGGAGGCATTACCTCTACGGCACGAAGTGTAAGCTCTTTACTGACCATAAGAGCCTCCAATATCTCTTTAATCAGAAGGAGTTGAACATGAGGCAACGACGCTGGCTAGAACTTCTCAAGGACTACGACTGTGAGATACTTTACCACCCAGGTAAAGCAAATATTATTGTTGATGCTCTCAGTCGGAAAGTCAATCTTGAAAGAAAAAGGCCAAGAGCGTTAAGAATTGAAGTCGTCTTGATGATTGTGGAAAGTATCAGGAAAGCTCAAGAAGAAGCCTTAGAAAAGAATGACCGAAAGGAAGAACGTTTGGGAAAAACGTTAGTGTTCGGTACGAACAGTCGAGGACTGAATGTATTCCAAGATCGAATTTGGGTACCTAAGACGAGAGGAATAAGAGATCTTCTAATGGAAGAAGCACACAAGACCATGTACTCGATTCATCCCGGTAGCACTAAAATGTATAGGGACCTAAAACCCTACTATTGGTGGCCGACGATGAAGCTCGATGTTGCGAAGTATGTGGTTAAGTGCGTAACATGTGCGAGGGTTAAGGCACAACATCAAAAACCATATGGGAGTTTAGAACCCTTACCTGTACCCATGGGAAAATGGGAAGACATCACCATGGATTTTGTGACTAAACTGCCCAGAACGAAGAATGGTCACGACATGATTTGGGTAGTCGTGGATCGTTTCACCAAGAGTGCACACTTCATAGCGGCCAACGAGAAGTGGTCTATGGATAAGCTCGCAAATGCTTACGTGAAGGAAATTGTAAGACTTCACGGTGTCCCTCTTACTATTGTGTCAGATCGTGATAGTCGTTTCACATCGAGGTTTTGGAGGAGTCTACAAGAGGAGTTGGGTACAAAGTTGTGTTTGACTACTGCTTACCATCCGCAAACTGATGGTCAAAGTGAAAGAACGATTCAGACGTTGGAAGATATGCTGAGAGCATGTACCCTCGAATTCCAAGGGAATTGGGACGAGCACTTACCTCTGGTAGAATTTTCCTACAACAATAGTTTTCACTCGAGCATCAAGATGGCTCCTTATCAAGCCTTGTATGGGCAGAAGTGTCGTATGTCGTCTTGTTGGCTTGAAGCTGGAGAGAAGCAGTTTATGGGCCCCGAGATAGTCCATGAGACTGCTGAGAAATTGAAGGTGATTAAGGAAAGAATGTTAGAAGCTCAGGATCGTCAGAAGAGCTATGCCGACAAGAAAAGACAACCCGATAACCTTCAAAGTTGGGGATTCCGTTTTACTTAAAGTCTCACCGTGGAAGGGACTTATACGATTTGGGAAACGAGGAAAGTTGAGTCCAAGGTTTATTGGACCATTCAAAGTTCTTCAGAGGATTGGGAACCAAGCTTACAAGCTGGAATTGCCCGAAGAACTCAATGGTATTCATAACACCTTCCATGTGTGTTATTTGAGGAAATTCATGGGAGATGTTCCCGACATAATTCCAATCTCGGAATTAAGGATGGATGAGAATAAAAGGCTGATCGAAGAGCCTAAGGCAATTATTGACCGTAAGACTAAGAAGTTACGACGCAAGATGGTCGACTTGGTGCTAGTCCGATGGAAACATTTGAATGGGCCGAATCTCACTTGGGAAATAGAGGATGACATGATGAGTCGCTATCCACATCTGTTTGCTGATGCATGATTCCGGGACGGAATCATCCTAAGGGGGTGAGAATTGTAACGCCCGGGTTTTCAGGGCTAAGCATTTTTGTCAATGTAATAGTCTATGTCAACTATTGTAACTCTTTTTGAAGTAATAAATAGGAAATATTTGAGTATTATGTGAATTATGTGTGTTTATGTGTTTATTATTTAATTATAAATGTATAATTAATAAAGAATAAAAATGAGCGTCAAAATTAAAGTGTGAGATAATCCCAATATCTCTATATAAAGTTGTAGAATATGTCTCAAGGTTTTCGTACATATAAAGAATGCCGAAATCCGAGCTATAACGAAGAAGTTATGGCCCGCCGAAGTTTTACGGCAAAACCGGCACAACACCGGGAGACGTAAATAGTGAATTTACGATAGAAGACTTTTTAGCCTTAGCAATCTAAACAAAAGTCGTAGAATATGTTAAACTAAGAACATCGATAAAAAGAACGCCCAAATTTGACTTCGTATGAAGAAGTTATGATTTTTCTAAGATTCGGCTTAGCAGTGCACGGCCTGAAACTCGAATTTTAGTTCGAGCGGTTTTTGGCTTACGCAACGTAAATGAGAGTTGAAGATCTCATTAATAGGAAATCAATGGTAAAAAGACAGACAAATACAGAGTCCGTATGTAGAAGTTATTAATTTTACGCAGACGTTTAACAGTATAATCTCCTTGTACTGTTAAATTTAAGATCGGTCGAGAATTAGCTGACGGTGTCAAAATGAAAGTTGTAGATCCTATTATTACCTACGCGTGGATATAAAGAACGTCAAAAATGGAGGTCGTATGTGAAAGTTACGGATTTTAGAAGTCGGAAGTGTGCTGTGCGAAAATGGGTGATGTGGCACAATCTTGGCCATTGCTTTCTCCCCAAGGCTTGCCACCAGATGGTGACATGTGGCACCAAGTTCAGCCACATTTCACCCTATAAATACCACCTCTCCCACCCTCATTTTCTTCACACCTTTCCCATTCTTTCTTCTCTTTACTCTCTCTCTCTCTCTCTAGAACCTCTCTCTAGCCCCGAAATCCCCCGAAAAGCCTAGGGAACCTCCCTAGCACGAGGCGGAAGCCCCGGAGTGCTCGAAGGCTCTGAGAAGAAGAGCTTTTCAGCTCGGGAACGCTGCTCCAAGCAAAGCCTGATTTTCTATAAAACCCGCTGTAACTGAGCTACGCCTACGCTATTTTTAATGTAACTTTTATTTAATTATAGTAACGTTATTAGGAACTTATAATAAATACTTGGGCTATTATTATGGGTTATATAAGTATTTTTTTTTACGCTTATATAATAATAATAATAATAATAATAATAGCTAGACTATTAATTAGTCTCGACGAATAATAAACTAAACTCTAGTGGTAATAATACTAGGTTTCGTCGAAGAAAAATTCTTTTTAAGAAGCGAAGTGCTGTCTGAGTTCGGAATCACCACCTTTTCCGGTGAGTGCATAGTTACTTTCAGCTTACACATAGATATGAAGTATTTTATATAAATTACATGCTATGTGTGCATATTATCTGAATACTTGCTATCTACGTTAGATGAACGTTGTTATACATGTTTTCTATGATTTAAACTGATATGTATTTTATATCTACGAAAATGTTGGGGTTAAACATGGGTAGATGTAATAGGTGATGTGTATAAAATGATGAGAGGCCTCGATGTTGTTGTTGTTGATCTAGTCATCTAGCGGAGTATAGATGACGACCACGGACTCTTCTAGACAGTCCAATAGAACACTAGCAGGCTCGCAACCTGTAGGTGTTGTGAACGATGTGTTCACCGGTGTACTCCATCCCCCACATGGTTGCCTATTAGGACATTTATTGCTGAGGAATCCCCTTAGCAGTAGTGTTCGTCCCGATGATGATCCTTAGGCTAGGTCCCTTATGATAGGTGTTTAGGGATGTAAAGTGAGGATAACGGGAACCGGTAATCGGGTTATTGTTGATTGATGAAATTAATAAACTTATTTATTGTGGGTTGAAAACCCTATGTGCTCACCAGGCTCCCAAGCATAACACACTCAGTTTTATGCATTACAAGTAGTGGCGCATGAGCATAGGTGTGATGTTTTGGACGAGGGATTACGGATATAGGCCTGTAGATATGAAATAATGTAGTAAGGCTTATATTGTACTGTTTATACTTTTGATCTGTACGAACATGACATCCCGAGTCTTTTAATGAAATACATTTCTATGGAAATGTTTTTGATAAATCTTTATCATATTATTGTTTTGGGACAAATTCTGCAACCCTTTTATTAAAAGATAACTCTGATTTTGAAATAAAGTATAAACAAAACCGGTCTTTTCTGGCCTTGATTTTGGGGATGTCACAGATCATAAGGTGTGAGCTTATAAGTTCTTCACATGGTAAATATAGTTTGTTAAAACAATCCATGGTAAATATAGTTTGTTAAAACGAAATAACAAAAATAAAAACGAAAGAATATTGTTTCTATATTTTGTTTTATATAAAAGTATGTTAAATACTAAAATTAATATGTGGAATCCATTTATAAAGAGTAAATTATTTGTTGACAACATAGAAAGTTTGATGATATTTAAAGATTTATTTATCTACTATAATAAATGAATGTTTTTTTTTGTCACATGTCACATTTTCATTTAATTTGTCAAATGTCATTTTGTGATTAATTTGAATTAATTTTTTTTCACGTTTCATTTTATGAGTTTTTTCTATTTTATTAAATTTCATATAATATTTTAATGTAATAAGTGTAATAAATGGATATAAATTTTATTAATGAACTTACATTTTAATCTCAAAATTTTCAAATTAAAGATCATTGGTTTCTTTTGTTTATTTATTTATATTTTAAAGATAACAAATATTTCAATTATAATAATTCATTATTTTTTTATTTTTTTATAAATTCAAAGTTCTCAAATACTTTGATATTTATATTTAACTGTTTTTTAAATAACTCATGTAATAAATGAGCCTTAAAACTAGTTGATAATAAGGAATGACATTGACAATGCTAGAAACCTCAAAATAATATCCAACATTGGAAAATCTAAAAATTATTCATTACAGAAAAAACGAGCCACCCCTCATGATCTTATAATGGTCTTATGGATAATGTTAAGAAGATTAATCATAATATTTTTAGAAAATAAAAAATGTAATGTTCGAATTTAAATCAAAACCTTATTTATAAATTTGTGTCTTTTTACCTTTTGATTTAATCACTCCACCGTCCTAATTTGTAAGTTTTATAAGAAATCACATCATAATACTTTTATTATATATTTATAAGTATGAAAATTGAAAAGAGCTATGAACTTGACCTTTTTTTTTCATATACTAGCTACTTTTATTTGACTTTGGTTCTTTATCACGATATATGAAACTCATTTTGACGGACGAAGTGGTATAGCCACCATCGATAACAAGATTATGACCTGTTATAAATCCAGACTCTTCAGTAGCTAAAAACAACACAGCATGGGCAATATCTTCAACCATTCCACACCGTCCTTTTAATAAACTTGCAGTCTCACTTACAGACTGTTGCACTTCTTCAACTGTCGCATCTTTTTTGAAACCACGATATGCATCCACAAGCATCTCTGATAGCACTCCATGAGGTAAAACGCAATTGACACGAATCCCATACAAACCTAACTCGCATGATGAGCTTCTTGTTACTCCTAGAATCGCCTCTTTTGTTAACGTGTAGGCATGTGATCCAAGGCCTCCCATTATTGCAGCAGTACTTGATGAGTTTATAATAGAACCAGATGTACCTGCTTTGATCATTGCTCTTGCAGCATGCTTGATCCCATGTACAACACCATTCACATTTACTCCGACTATTTTTGAAACCCTTTTCATGTCGATAGTGGTGATACTTCCTCCGATATCTACAAAGAAAACAAATTTCCGGGATTGTCTTTAGATATTGTTATTAATAGATACATTCACTAAACTATGTTTCTTGTGAAGACAAAATAAGAAAGTTAACACACACACACACACACATATATATATATATATATATATATATATATATATATATACATATACAAAGAGAGAGAGAGAGAGAGATTTTGAAGACTCAAAGTTAGCCCAGAACTTAAAAACTCCTAATCCGTCCAACATTTTACAAATTTGAATATTCATCAAATATGTATGTATACACAATTATAAACTTTTTTTACTGGTTTTGAAAATTTTTGAAAAAAATACAAAATATGCATATATGCACATTTTCAAAAAAAAAAAATTAATTGTTTTAATTTCCTTTTTTGGTGATTTTCAACTTAGGATTCATCGAAATGAAGTCATTATGTGCTTAGGGGTGTTTTGAGATTATGTTTTTAAATTTGTTCTCAAGTTCTTCATAATCTTAGATTGATAATAATAACTTATATATATATATATATATATATATATATATATATATATATATATATATATATATATATATATATATATATATATATAGTATGATCGATCCATGCACCAAATAGGAATGTACCCCCGATGCCAGCATTATTGTACAAAATATCGATTTTCCCTTTCCAAGTTATAGCAAATTGAATTGCAGCCTCTACATCAGATTCGACTGAGACGTCACAATGAACATAACGACCATTGATTGAATTAGCAAGATTTATTCCTAATTCATCCAAAATATCTGCAATAACGACATGTGCACCGTTCTCCGCCATTAACTTGGCCGTGGCACCACCAATTCCTCTCGCTCCACCCGTTACCACTACAACTTTATCGATTAACCTTGTCACATGAAAACAAACATCAAGTTCAATCGAAATGAGGATAATTTTAAATATGAAAATGTTAATTGTATAACAAACTAACAAAACAAATCAAGAGTTTGTAGCATACATGTGAACTAGACAACTATCTTTTCATCAAAGTTATCAAGGATAAAAATGTTATATATATATATATATATATATATATATATATATATATATATATATATATATATATATATATATATATTTATATAAAAGGATGTACCAAAAGGTTTATATCCTAGTGGTATCAGGATTTGATAGAAAAAGTGTTCCATAAAGAATGGTTGAGGGTTCAAGTCTCGTTTGAGATAAGAGATATATGATTTAGGAGTATGATAGTGCATTGATGTATTAGTCATTCTAAAATAATTCTACGAATGTGTTTTTGTATAAAATGAAAAAGAATCAAATAAGAAGGTAAGTAGTCATTGTAGATTCTAATCAAGTTTGGGTAGCACATAATAAAAAAAAATTCTTCATACAAAACAATTTATGTTTTATAGGTTTATACAATACAAAACTATAAAACATAAATTGGTGTACCATAAAACATAAACTCTTTTGTTTGAAGAAAATATTATCTATAGCTCTCATATTTTTAACTCCATTGTATATACTATTTGCTTATAAGAAAAGTGTCTTAAATATTTGTCTAGATGGCTAATTAATAAATAAAGTTTGGCACTCTAAGATGCCTACAAATAACACTGATAAGTTTTATTAGGTAGGATCAATCATTAATTGAACTTGGTGACATTAATCAGGTACAGTTGGTCAAAACATCAAAACTATCATAATTATATATAAAAAATCCAAATAAGCCAACAATTATGATGTCAAAATTAAAGAACAAAATATATGTATATTAAACTAAATGGCTTAATTTCAGCTTCACATCTCTTTGTTTCTCATCATGCCGACACTTACATTTCTCTATCTCTCATCATCTCAACACCCATCTTCATGTTGATGTTATTTGATAGATATGTAATTGAGTATAAAATGAATCAGACTTGGCTATGTAGTTATAATTATTTATTTTTAAAATTCATTTTTTAAAATGTAGGGTTCCTGATTAATATGTAATTAATATTATCCTATATCAATTAAACCCTTAAGAATAGGTGACCGACTATCTACCGTATAATGATTTTTAACAACTTGATTCTAAATTACATAATCATTTCTATGATATGGGGTAAATTACGAGTTCCTTCGCTATTTTTTTTTCATTTTAATTGTCCCTATGGTTTGAATTTGTTTTGGTTTTGACACCCAATCAAGTTGAAAAGATTATTTTTGTTTAATAATAAAATTTAATCTTTTTAATACCCTTTTAAATTATTTATATAAAATAAACTAGTAAGTAAATTCACCCCCACCCTATAACCCACTCCCATATGTCCCCTCATTCTGCATTCCGTTTTGTGTCTATAGAAGTACCGCCCATTCTTTGTTAAAGTTAAAGTAACTGCCTCTCTAGCTTGAAATGGAACCCTCTTTTTCTCCATGTATGGTTTATCAATTATCACTCTACTTCCACTTCACTCTCCTCTATTATCTCGTGTGGAGAGTTGATTGTAGATTTGTAGAAGAATGAGGCTCTATTATGTGGGTTGGGAGAAGGTTTTAGCATTTAGATAAAGAGGTATGCTTGGTCTTGGGAGCTTAAGAGATCTTAACATCAACTTTTCCACCAAATGGCATTGGAGGTTCCGATCAGTCAAAGACAATGTCTATTTTCATAGGGTGAGGCATGTACAAAACTTGGATGGAAAACCCAAACACCATTTTTGTAAAAAAAAAAACAATCACAATCACCTAAAATAAAATTTCTAAAGATGGGGACGATCTTTGATGGCTTGGTTTGCTGCCACATTCTATATTGGTTCAATCGATTGGAAAAGGGGATGATACATTATTTTGGAGGTACTTATGTTCAGGTGACACGAAATTACAAAAACCATCCCCTTCTCTCTACAACATTAAGAAAAAAATTACGTCTTATTGAGGATCGAGTCTCCTCTTTACCTTTTACTTGGGACTAGAAGAAAACTCCTTCCTCTTTGTTGAATTGTAGGAACTAACCCAGTTCACCACTAGCATTCCACCCCTCCACAAATGATTAAACTAATGATGTGTCTTCAGTCTTAATTTCGATGAGAAATTTCCCGTAAAAGCCCTGTGTTATGTTATTGACTTGGTGATCATGATTGCAAGTGATTATCATATTTGGTGGTTAATGTTGATCCTTCTGAAAAGTTAGTTGCTTCATTTGAAGGGCTATTTTTGGGTGAATTCATACTATCCTACTACCCTGGCCCTATAAATTTGTGGACTTCCCATCACTACAACCATGTATCTATATGTATTTGTATCTGGAACCATATGGAAGCTGAAATAACTGATCATATTTTTCTCAAGGCCTTTTTCTCGTGAAGCTTTATTATGGATTCTTGGTTTGTGTGACATACCTCAAAGATCCTTCTTCTAAATCCGTGAAATGATGGCTTATGTTGCTTGCTGGGGTAACTTTCCGAAGAAGAAAAAGATGTTGGTGGTGACTATTTACCGGATAATCAGCATATAGATGGCTATAAATAACATGGTTTTCAACCTTTCTCATGTGCCTTCTACTACGATTGATGACACTACAATTGCATTGGTGTTTGATTGCTTCAAGTATAAGGAGAATAAGAGTAGCACCAATTGGCATACTCGGAGTTGTTTTCCTTTCTTATGCTTGTAAATTATTTTTCTCAAGTACCTTGCCCCCTTCTAGCTTCTTGCTAGTTGTGGTTTTGTTTTATGATTATATATCTTCAGTTCCAAAAAATGTTGCTTAGATCTCATGGTGATTAAACTATGTTATTTGTGTGTTTGGTTTTGCTACTTAGTTAACAAAAATTAAGGAGACAATGATTGAATCTTGATTTTTAAGACATTTTAGTTTCTAGATATGTTTTTAATTTTTATCTTTGATTTTTATTTTGGCTTGATTTTTATGTTTTGGTTAAACTTTCACCATTATTTGATCTGGTCGGAGAAAACGAAGGAAGTAGTGGTAGAAAGGGTAACAATCTAGTTGGAGAAAAGGAGGATGGAGACCAAAAGGATATTAGATTGTATGACAATACAAAAGCTTATAATATTTCTATATTTGTGATCATATCTTAAATTTATAATAATAACAGAACAAATAAATAATAATTATTATTATTATAAAAATAATGCCTAGTAATCATAATATAGTCTATGTCTACTAGATACCAAAACCGAAACAACTTCAAACCATCGGGGTTTTAGTGAAATAAAAAGAAATAGGGTTGAAACTTGAAATTTTCCCTAACCATAAGGACAATATATGTAATATACTCTGATTATAACTGATGAGCTATTACTTACAAAAACTAAATAGTAAAACTAACAAAACCGGTAAATATCCAAAACATAATATGATTAAAGATACCAAAGTGTTTTTGTTGTACAATTGAATTGTCCGACTCTTTGATATCATGGGTTCAAATCATTCTTGATATATAGATTTTAGGTGCAAAATATGAATGAATTAGATTGTTGTAATAAATAGGGTTATTTTCATGTGAGACGGCTAAATTTTGTGAGATCGTGAAACGCAATACTAGCCACTTATTTAGTAGATAAAACAAAAGCACTTTTAAAATGCAAAATAATTGAAAATTTTCCAATTTTTTTTCCAATACTATTTTTGAAATATATATTTTCCAAACAAAAAATAAAAAAAAATACTAAAAATAAATTAAATTAAATACAAAAAAATACCTTTTTTTTACATATTTTAGTAGAATATTTAGAATATTTTACATATATGGCAAATCTAGTTGAATATTCTAAACATTCTAAAAATCATATTAGAAATATACAGTGTAATATTCTATTATAATATTTCACGTATTTACCAAAAAAAACGGTAATTTTTTTTAGGTAAATAAAGTTCCGAAAATAATAATTAATTTTTTTTTTTGAATTTTTCCTTTATTTTGCATTTTATAATTATTTTTAGATATGGTCTCATGGTGGAAATTTTTTTTATTTTTATTTTTTTTAGGTAAATAAAGTTCCGAAAATAATAATTAAAAAAAAGTTTTTGAATTTTTCCTTTTATTTTGCATTTTAAAATTATTTTTAGATTTGGTCTTACAGTCTTACAAACTTAGCATGGTCTTAAATTAACTTAAACCGTAATATATATATATATATATATATATATATATATATATATATATATATATATATATATATATATATATATATATATATATATATTGAATTTGAATAGCATAAAACAACGTATTAATCAACAAAATGTAATTTAAACAGAATAAGATTTGCCTACTAATGAAATGGAATTTCTCATTGTACGAAACAAACAACTTTTTTTTTTATTCTAATGAAATGAATTCATTCATATATGTTTTTGGATTTATCATACAAAAAACCATCCATGATGATGCCTATAAAACTAACGAATAAAGTGACAGATAATTTAACAATAGCCGATATTTGTTTAGATTTTTTGATTTCGGAGTGCGTGTGTTTGGATTAGGGATGAGCGCATTGTAGTTCAGTGCGGTTATTTGCTAAAAACTCACCACTAAATGCAAATACAATTAATCGATTTTAAAAAACGTTTGGTGCGGTTATTTTTGCGGTGCGGTTAAACGATTATTATTATTATTATTATTATTATTATTATTATTTTTGTATTTCGGTTAATAACTGTATGGATTTGATACAGTTATTTTGTATGTTTTTAACCACGGTTTAGAGTTCAAATGATTTTAAGAGTTCAAACATTTAACTTGTCATAAAATAATATATATATATATATATATATATATATATATATATATATATATATATATATATATATATATATAGGGTTAAGTTCAAATGAGAACACAATTTAATGTGAGAACACTACTTTATGTTACTATTCTACTATGAATTTAATATGTATAGTATTGTAGTAATTATAATATGAATATATTCAATTTTATATTGCTATTCTACTATAAATTATATATATATATGTAGTAATTTAGTAAATTCTAATGTGAATGTTAAATATGTGATTGTTCTTATATTCAGTGATGAATAATGTCATAAAGTTGTATATACAAAATTTTAATGTGAATATTAATGCGTGATTGTTCGTATATTTGTTGATGAATAATGTCATTTCGTTGTATATACAAAATTCATAGTAGAATAGTAATATAAAGTAGTGTTCTGATGTTCTCACATTAAATAGTGTTCTCATTTGAACTTAACCCTATATATATATATATATATATATATATATATATATATATATATATATATATATATATATATATATATATATATATATAAGACAATTAACTTAAATCACAAACAAGTAATATCTTAAAAACTTCAAATCACTAGTAATTAATAATAATTATCTTCAAATTGTAAAATTTCATCATTTTTTAAAGTTAAACATAACAAAAAGGGAAATCTTCAGAAAAGTCCCAATATTTACGGAAAAGTTACACTTTAGTCCCAAGATTTTTTTTTTGAACGAAAAAGTCCTGAAAACCGGCAAAAATTTGCAGTTTGACCCTTTTTGACCGGTTGAAACCGGTACCAAACTAATTTGGGACTATTTCGTAAACTAATCCAAAATATTGGGATTTTTCAGTAAACAAAAAATATTAGGACTTTTCTGTAAACAAAAATATTAGGACTTTTCTATAAACAAAACCTTAATTATTATTATTGTTATTATTATTATTATTATTATTATTATTATTATTATTATTATTATTATTAAAAATATAAATAAGAATACTATTTTTTGAACTTGTTATTTTTAATATTATTACTAATACATATAAATGCATTAAATGAAAAAAATATTATTAATAACATTGTTTAAGGGTGGAGGTGGAGGAGATGGTGATGTTTTTAGTATTGAAATCGTGAATGTCTACTTGTATATTTTTACTTTGTATATGGTCATTTCATATTTGTTATTATTGTTTTCAATTCAGAATATTAATATTTAACAATTTGAAAGAAGTTGCATATTAATTGTTTAAGGTAGTAGAGTTTCTCATTTTGTATATAAAATTGTTTAAGGTTGAAGAATTACTTTCCAAATCCAACAAATCCACTACAAACATCTACATAAGTAACCTATATTAAAATTCGAAAATATTAATTACAATATTTTGTTTAACAAAAAGTAATAGGAATAATTCAAAAGTATTATTCAAAATTCAAAAGTATTAATCCAAAAAACATGTCCTATTACTTTTTATTGAACAAGATATTGTAATTAATATTTTTGAATTTTGATATGGGCTACCTATGTAGATGTTTGTAGTGGATCTGTTGGATTTGGAAAATAATCCTTCTACTGTAAACATTTTTATATACAAAGTGAGAAATCCTTCTAACTTAAACTATTTATAAAGAATTTTACAAATATGCAACTTCTTTTAAATTGTTAAGTATTATTATTTTTAATTGAAAACAATAACAACAAATGTGAAATGGCCATATAAAAAGTAAAAATATACAAGCAAACATGCATGATTTCAATGCTAAAGGCAGCAACATCTCCTCCACCTCCACCCTTAAACAATGTCATTAATATTATTTTTTCATTTAAATACATTTATATGTATTAGTAACAATATTAATAATAACAAGTTCAAAAAAAAATATTCTTATTTATATTTTTAATAATAATAATAATAATAATAATAATAATAATAATAATAATAATAATAATAATAATAATAATAATAATAATAATGATGATGATGATGATGATGATGATGATGATGATGATGATGATAATAATAATAATAATAATAATAATTATAATAATAACAATAATAATAATTAAGGTTTTGTTTATAGAAAAGTCCTAATATTTTTGTTTACAGAAAAGTCCTAATATTTTTTGTTTACTGAAAAATCCCAATATTTTGGATTAGTTTACGAAATAGTCCCAAATTAGTTTGGTACCGGTTTCAACCGGTCAAAAAGGGTCAAACTGCAAATTTTTGCCGGTTTTCAGGACTTTTTCGTTCAAAAAAAAAATCTTGGGACTAAAGTGTAACTTTTCCGTAAATATTGGGACTTTTCTGAAGATTTCCCTAACAAAAAAACTAACATTTTTGTCTTCTAGAATATTATATTTCTTTAAACTTGTCTTATTTTTAATATTTAATATATTAACAATTAATTAAAAAAATTTATAAAATATATATGGTGCGGTGCGGTTTTTGAAAACTAACAACAGTACCGCAACATAAATTTACGATTTTTGAAAAGTAGAAAAACCTTACAATCAGTTTTTATTGCGGTTGCAGTTTATTAGATTTGATTCATACGGTTTTTACGGTTAATTTTAGTTGCGATGCAGTTTTTGTTCACCACTATTTGGATGTTGAAATAGTTATAACAAAATATTAATCAATGTGTACTTTTCCTGCTTCTTTAAATTTGTAATAATCACTTAATTAATTTTCAAAAATAAATAAATCTACAAGATAAGACATTCATAAACAGTATTTAATTAAGTTTTTTATTTACCATAGAAATTAATAAAATGATCAACTGTTAACCAATTAACTAAAAAGAAATTTAGCAAATAATTCTATTAGATAGCTACAGAGAATCATACATGGTATGATAAAAGTAATCAAGATATATATAATAACCGAACAAAAGTGGATCCAACCTTTTACTTGCAAGGGGGTGGCCGTTACCATCTTTAAGATCATGTTGATCCATGCTTTTGAAGCGATGGTGGATTATAGGTCTATAGTATTAGATTTATAGACATGTAGAGAGAGATGGATTGTTCCCTTTGCATGAGTGTATGCATTTTTCTACTTGCATGCATTTTTCGTTCTCATCAACCACTTTTCACCTATCATGTGACCAATCTTTTAATGTTAACCCAATATACATGCATTTTACCGTTTTTTTAGAAACTGAAATTAATAAAAATGTCCCCTTCAGATTGTTCGTTAGCTTGTGTTCCTAGTCTCTAGCAGGCTTTTGGTGGTGCAATAAACCGGTTCTTCGAATCAGGATTAGATGTTCTAGAATTATATTTCTAATTTTAAATATTCTTTAAATGATATTGATTCAAGATGATGTTTGTCTTGTTTGGTTTGGTTTATATGGCTTTCATTAATTTTGTTTGGTTAACCGGGATAAAATTATTTGGTTTTGTTTTGTTTAAATTTTAATTATTTTGATTCAACCGAATAAATTTAATATATATTTAAATATAGTTTCTACATTTTAAATATTTATTATCAAATTCTTTTATTTAACTTACTGCCTTGTAAAAAATGAGTGGTAATAAACTTAATATATATATATATATATATATATTATATATATATATATATATATATATATATATATATATATATATATATATATATATATCAAGACCGATCCATTGGTTTTCCATGCCCGGGACGATACAGAAAAAAACAATAACCCTATGTTTATACCGACGTAGTCATCTTGTGACATTAACATATTTCACAATTCAAGAAAATTATAACTAGTTCTTTGTTCATAGTTGTACCTGGTTATAAGTGTTGTGCCTATAAAGACTGAAAGTTGAATTTTTTGACAGCAAGTAAACTATCGTGAATTAAAAGGTTCGCGAAGAGCTAACAAAGAACAAATAAAGGAATAAAAAGTCAAACAGTGTACTATAGTGAGCCTATGTAAAAAAAACAATAAAGTGAACTTAAAAAACATCAACAACTCCAAATGCTCAAATGGAAGACCAAAAAATTATAAACAAATTAAGCTACAACGAAGTTTAAGTGTGAATAAAACATCAAAACCCCAACAGGTTGGGCAAAAAACATTAACATCTTTGTAAATAGTAGAGCCAAAACACACATGAACTTGAAGGGGCGTATATACCAATGAACTTGTCCAAACACCTAAAATGGCAAATACTTTGACAACTACAATCCTACTTCATGAATGTATTTAGAGTTTAACTATATTATAAAGGAAGCCTACATCAGTTTCAGGTGCCAAAGGGCAAAACCAAAACTCATATCAAAGCCAGAAACAATTAGAACCCCCACCAACTATATCAGAAACAACTTGATTGCAATAAGTGAAATTTTTTGCTGATAGATAATCAACACAACTGGAGCACTTGGGTTACATCAGATGTGCTACTGAGAAACTTTCTGTATGCCCCATTATATACGAAAATCTTTCAACTTACACCACCTCACAACTCTCCCAACAATACCTCATGAATCACACTACATAACACAAAAGTTTAGAAACAAACTCTATAAGACTATAAATGTATATCTGAAGCTAACCATTAAAACTTTTAAGTTCTACATGAAGCAAACCATAATAAATCAAACCTAAAAGCAATAGATTTCGAACTCAAATATAGAACAACTTGAGCCTGGTCGTGCTCCCGCAACCCTTTATATTGTAATCGTCCTCCAAAAGCCCACAAGAAACAATCCACCTCCTGAACCAAACAACAATCAAACTCACCCAATTGTCTAATTCAGAAATCTAACACAAGTCGGAAATTACATTGAGAAAAAGGGAATCAGAATATGAGTAGAAGTCTCACAATTCAGAAATTGAAAACCTCAAAATTACTCAGTCCTTCGGTGTTTGCTTCAGAAATTTAAAATAAATAAATAAAATCGAAATCAAAATACAAAGAAGGTAAGCAATCGAACTCAGACCATAACCACCACATACATCGGACAATGAACACAAATCGGGTCCCCCCAATAACCACCGGTTATGTAGTAGGTTTAAGAGAGAATTAGAGAAATTAAAATGGAAATGAAATAGAATGAAAAAGTACTCAGTCGGTTATCTATTAGAGGCTTCTCGATCTTTTCGTTTTTCTAGACATCGCCAGGTTTGGCGATTACGTTTCTCAAAATGCTTAAGGTATTTGACACCCACGCTTTTACATTTCGTCGATACAATGCCTCCGAGACGCGAGACGCTGGTACCAGTTATTGGAATAAATATTGGGCCAAACTCATATATACACTATTGGATTAAATTTATGCCCTGTATTTTTCTGCTGCCCTGGGTCATAGCCCAACTCGCCCATGTATTGGGTCGGGCCTGATATATATATATATATATATATATATATATATATATATATATATATATATATATATATATATATATATATATATATACTTAGGTTATTGTATTCTAACTAATTACTGTGTAGATGTAGCAATGATTATGGGCCAATTATTTTACTTATTTTTAGAATGTAAATAATACATATTATTAAATTAAAGATAATTAAAAAATTACCATCTACGTTCCTTCTAAGAGTATTTTAGTCAATTAACATAAATTTAAAAAAGGAAATTGCATATTTTAAGGGAAAATTGATTCTATTAATTTTAAAAATCGGATTGTATGGATGATGTAACACCGTAAAATTTAAAACAAATTTTCACATTTTAAACACATTTTTCCAAACACATTTATTAACAAAATCCCATTGTATCATAACTTTGTTTCACAAAATATTTCCCAAGATCATAATACATAAAAAGCCATACGTGTGTACGAATCATGCCGGCGCCTTCCCGCGATCATCACTGGTACCTAAAACACATAACACATAACACTGTAAGCATAAAGCTTAGTGAGTTCCCCAAAATACCATATATAACGCATACTAGCCACTCGCGGCTATAACTCTGTGGGCCCGTGGGCCCTAACTCTGTGGACCCTCTGGTCCTAGCTCTTTGAACCTTCCGGTTCTAACTCTGATATACTCTGATATACATATGACATAAATCACATAGAAATAATGCAGTGCAACACATCACATAATAGCATACAGTAACTCTGTCACATGACTCTAATCACCACTCAAGGTAAAGTGTAGTGAGAAGACTCACCTCAGATGTCTCGGTAAATCTATAACTTGGTAGAAATGCGATCTAGCCTCCACCTAATCACATAAAGTAATACTCTCATAAATATAACTCTCAGGACTAGACTCAACCCTCTCTAGGCACCCTCAGAAGGGTAAAAGACCATTTTACCCCACCTTTGGCTCAAAGGCCCTCATTGTTGACCAAACCCCAAAAGTCAACCAAAGTCAACAGTCAAACTTTGACGCGACTCGTCGAGTGCACTTGGGCAACTCGGTGAGTCCACACGTGTCCACTAACTCCCTAGTCTCACTTAGCATGTCGAGTCCCTCCCCTTGCTCGACGAGTCACACCTGGCACGAATCGCGGGGCTACCCCGACTCAACTCGCCGAGTCTCAAGATCAACTCGGCGAGTTCCATCTTGAACTCCAATCCTCTAATCCCTCTCTGACTCACTGAGTTATTCCCCCAACTCGGTGAGTCTACTCGCTAAGTGATTTACAGGAAACCCTAACCCTACTCGCCGAGTCTGATCTTTGGACTCGGCGAGTTCATGCCATGAAAAACTCCATTGACCTCCTAAGGTCAGATCTGTTCCTTAAACCCATAAATCTGACCTTCCCAAGCATGATAATCATGTAAAGTTAAGAGCTTCACACTCATATAACATCTAGATGGTCCTACATGGTGATTTAGCCCCAAAAATAAACTCCTAAATTCATGGCTCCCAAAATAACCCATAAAGCTCCAAGGGTTAAGGTCTCTGGACCTCTTTGAGTCCAGATCCAAAGCATAAACTCGAGAAGGGACCAATTGCTCCACATATCCATTCTCTAAAGGGGTTAGAAAATCCTAACTCTAAGAATAAACACCAAAATTGAAGAAGGTCTGAATAAATACCTTAAGATGAGATCTATGAACTCTGAAATCACCAGATCCGCTCCTCCTTCAGCCTCCTCTTGCCTTGGTCACCTCCTCTTTGCAATCACACCAACAAAATGATCAAAAGTGGCCTCTCCTCCCTCACAAATGCTCTAGATCTCTTAGGGTCTCTCTCTGGGGTTTGGTAGCCGTAAATGACGACCCTAAGGGACTTTAAATAGGTGCCAAACCCAGGAAATTAGGGTTTCATTAAACAGTGTGGACTCGTCGAGTCCGGTCATGAACCCGGATGAGAATCCGCGACCCTACTCGGCGAGTCTAAGCACCAACTCGCCGAGTCCCTCTACAAACTCCCGAATAAATGAATAAAATAATATACCTCGGAATCCGGATGTTACAATTCTCCCCCACTAGAATCAGACTCCGCCCTCGAAGTCTGACTCTGCAAACAACTCTGGATGATGCTCACTCATCTCGCGCTCCGACTCCCAAGTCAGCTCTGACCCTTTCCTGTGCTGCCGCTGTACCTGCACCAGAGGCACTTCTTTGTTCCTCAGAACCTTGATTTTCCGATCTCAAATTGCCACCGGTATTTCAACATAGTTCAGGCCCACATCCACCTGTATATCCTCTAATGGTACCACTACCGACTCGTCACCTATACACTTTCTCAACTGCGACACATGGAAAGTGTCGTGAATCTGACCCAACTCCGCAGGTAGCTCCAAGCGGTAGGCTACCCTACCTACTTTTGCGATCACCATGAAAGGTCCAATATATGAAGGCCCCAACTTGCCCCTCTTCCTGAATCGGATCACTCCTTTCCAAGGAGAGACCATCAGGAGCACGAAGTCACCGACCTGGAACTCGAGCTCGGACCGGCGCCTGTCCGCATAACTCTTCTGATGACTCTGAGCGGTCAACAACCTCTGTCTGACCTGCTGTACCTGCTCAGTCATTTGAAGCACAATCTCTGTACTACCCATCACACGTTGCCCTACCTCTCCCCAGCAAATGGGGGTCCGACACATCCTCCCATACAACAGCTCAAAGGGTGGCATACCAATG